TGGCTTTGAAACTCGTCCACTCCCTCTCTTCTCCGCCTTCAATTTTCTCGCAATCGAGGAGATTCTCTTGTTCGCTTAATCCAATCGGCTCAAAACCCACACCAACAGCATCTTCATTTCCCGGATTCCGCTGGAAAATCGGAGTTTCTCTGACCAGAACTTGGAAAGTGGGCGTGGCGGCAGAGAGTCCTCCGGCGACAATTGCGGCGGAGGACTGGGGGAAGGTATCGGCAGTGCTATTCGATATGGACGGTGTGCTTTGCAACAGCGAGGATCTTTCCAGACGAGCCGCCGTCGATGTGTTTGCAGAGATGGGAGTTGAAGTCACTGTGGAGGATTTCGTTCCTTTCATGGGAACAGGTCAGGCTTTTCAGGACAAGAGTGTTGTTAATTTTGCTCCATGAATTGATTGTTAATTTCAGTAATGAAGTTTGTTTATTCGGCTATGAATTGGGTATGGAATTTGAACTGATTTATAAGGGTGATCTAAAATTTCCAGTGTTAGCTTTGTCAAATTTCACGATATTTAACCTCTCAGATTTGGCAAATCAATATGGGAAGCTGTTCATCTGGGAAAATCCTAGTTAATAATTGGTTACTTTGAGCTTAAATCCGCAAAGAATGGTTATATCGTGATATGAGGTAGTTGATTTCATTAGTTTATAATTGGTTTGGCAATTCACAGGTGAAGCCAAGTTCTTAGGAGGTGTAGCTTCTGTCAAACGGGTACAAGGTTTTGATCCAGATGCTGCGAAAAAGAGGTTCTTTGAAATATATCTCGATAAGGTAATGCTTTATCGCTATCAGAATGGAAGACTGTTAGAGAAATATACTCATGCTTCTTGATTAGAATTCAATAGGATGAAAATCAAACTTACTTCATGGATTGATTATTGTTCTTCTACCAACTATATAGTATGCAAAGCCAGAGTCTGGGATTGGATTTCCAGGAGCACTTGAGCTTGTTACTGAGGTAAGGGCAAATAAACTTGTATGATCACTAATAGTTTTGGCGCTGGTGATGATGATTTGCTGTGAAACAGTGTAAGAAGAGAGGTCTCAAAGTTGCTGTTGCATCTAGCGCTGACCGTATTAAAGTTGATGCCAACCTCACAGCTGCTGGCTTGCCTTTCTCCATGTAAGACTTTACTGTACACATCCTTTATTGTTTTCTTTGTTGCCATTCCTTCACATTAATTTTGGTCTTTGATATGTTTCTGCAAATAAATGTCGGTAATTTTAATTTTCAGGTTTGATGCCATTGTTTCAGCAGACGCCTTTGAGAATTTGAAACCAGCTCCAGATATTTTCTTGGCTGCTTCCAAGATCCTGGGTGTGCCAACAAGCGAGGTAATTGTCGCAACTATATATAACATCATTTTAAGACAATCCTCTATTAAAAGTGGTGCACACTCCAGACTTTTTATGAAATCATAGACATAACAGAAAAATATTGAGGGCAAACCATCATGATTCAAATTCACTCTCGTAAATCCATTTATAGTCTCTACGAAGTATCGTGGAATTGATGAACAAAACATACCTTACCAAACAGAACTGTATATTTTAAGATGTTATGGCGCCAACAACATATCTAGCTATATAACTGCACATTCTGGAAGCTGAAAGTCAAGAAAGTAGAAGTTTACTTCGTCTACTTCCTTTACAGATCTTAACTTCTAGTTTCTCTGTAAAGGTACTTCGTAAGTGATATCTTTCATACAATTTTGTAGTGTGTTGTTATTGAAGATGCGCTTGCTGGAGTCCAGGCTGCCCAAGCTGCAAACATGAGGTACTTTACTTACGTGTGGCAGAATGAGTTAAATTTGGTATATCTGGTTTCAGTTTGAATACAAACTACTTGATTTGATACAAGTAAAGTAGATTCAAGACGTCAGTAAGTCTGTAGAATTTCTCGATAGTGTTTATGTCAAATCCATTCCTTTGCTTTATCCATTTATAGTATATATAAAAAAAATCATCTGTGGAGTTCAAAATGCTTACAATAAATTAAGCTTGAAAAACGTAGAACTAAGAAGTTCTAGCTTCCTCATTGTTATCTCCATCTACCCGCTTTCTTAGCTCTGGATTTGGATCACTTTTATTCATTTTCTAAATTTGCAGATGCATAGCTGTAAAAACTACTTTATCTGAAGCAATTCTTAAGGACGCTGGTCCGTCAATGATCCGAGACAATATTGGAAACATTTCAATCGATGACATTCTCACTGGTGGCTCAGATTCTACCAGTATGTAGTGTCAAAGAAATTCACTGCAAAACGTAGTTTGTTTCTGGTGTAATTATTTCTTGCTTAATCCTTTTGAAAAACTTTTGAATTAAGCGGCTTTCTTTGTAATGAAATTACATTTGATATATTGAAATTAAAATTAACTGTCGTTTTCAACTGGCATTTTCTCAAGGCTATAGATTTTTAGTTCGCTAAATCCATGGATTTTAATCATCAAGCCCATAGTAGCCTGTACAGTTTCAACCTTTTCTTTTTACATGCTTGAGTACTTACGCTGGAAATTCCGCAGAAATGCTTAAAGAGAACACTGCCAGCAACAAAACAAATGACGACGGGTAAGAAAGGTTCCTTAATCTAAATTTATCTTCATGATGTAAGTAGTTTGGAGTTGAGGATTAAGTTTAGGGGTTAAGTTTACCATTTATCATTCATCATTTATGATGGTAATGTCAACGCACTCTTTGTATGTATCACATGGACTTGATGAAAAAGTTAGGGACAATAAATTTTTGAAGAAAACCAGGAATTTTTATGCATTGACTGGTTTTATCATTCGAGAATGAAGCAAATGATGTGGCATATGGAAAATTTCATATCGTTGAGATTGCAGATGCAATTTTCCAACAGGTTGCAGGGTTCTCGCCGGGATATACTGAGGTACGTGAGTCTTGGGGTTGCTCTTTCTTGTGTCTACTTCACTGCCACCAACTGGAAGGTAAACCTGAAAGCATACATTCAAGAATATTTTTGTTTTCAAAGCTTTTTTATCGTACTGGGTTGTTGTTTTATGTGTAGGCAATGCAATATGCTTCTCCGAAAGCTTTGTGGAACGCATTGGTCGGAGCAAAAAGCCCTTCTTTTTCACAAAACCAAGGTTTTGCTTTTTGTGAAAATTTCCACGACACGTTTTCTGTTTGTTTTCAAGTTAGCATATAAGATACCATTCTGGGTTGGTTAGTAATCGACACAAATGATTTCATATCAAATGGCAAAACTGTAGGAAAGGAGGATATTGTGTCATAAATGTACACTATGTTTTAAGTTTTAACTGATGATATGTTTTGTACAAGAAGTTTATATACAGCCGGCTTATTATATCCAATCCCAGTTTGCTTCAATAATAACTTGACCGTTACAAACTTGCCCAAATCTGTTCAGTAGGTATCTTTATAGCTATTACATTAAGATTAACTAATCAACATGTTTCATAAAATTTATGATAGTTTAAAAGTTTACTCTTATCATTTTGTTTTAAAGGAAGTATGCCTAAAACATGAAAAATTTGGACCAAGAAATGATTTTCGTACTAGAGAAGTAGTCTAAAAGAACATTCTATTTAGTTTCGTCGTTACTTAATTCGGATGTAAAGGAAGCTACCTTGTTTTCTTTGTCTTACCGTCCAGGTGAAAGGAATTTTAACAGAGTCCAACAGTTTGTTGATTACATTGCTGATCTGGAGAGCAAGTAAGTATAACTATTTAATAAATTTTTAGTCTAATATAAATCGCAAATCAAGAGTTCGGTAGTCCGGTAATTCCCTCATCAGAAGAGATTATCATATATTAGTGGTACAAACTACATAGATTGGAAATTATCACAAGTTGAAAATTGTGGATGATCTTCTGTTTTGACTTGTGTGGGACTTTATTTATAGGCAAACAGCTACAGCTGTGCCAGAATTCCCGTCTAAACTCGACTGGCTAAACWCTGCCCCTCTCCAGTTTCGCCGAGTAAATTTTCATTTAAAGCTATGTGAAGAGTTGATTACATAGATTTTTTGTTTATTGAAGACGTGCTAAGGATTAGTTTGCTGATGACTTAAAAGGCTCGGTTTCAATTCTCAGAATGAATTAGATGATTTATTGCTTTGCATTGGCATATACCAAAATCTCCAGTTCGTTTTTTCCCATGTAGATTCTTGAGGAACAGAGGGAGCATCAGATGCTTCTTACTAACTTGTGACATTCTGTGAGCAGGATTTGAAAGGGAAAGTGGTTATACTTGATTTTTGGACCTACTGCTGCATAAACTGCATGCACGTATTACCGGACTTAGAGTTTCTTGAGAAGAAGTACAAGGACATGCCAGTGAGTCTTTTATTATTGCTTTTCTCGTAAAAATTATTTTGGGTCACAAAAACACTTAAACTTCGCCTAAGAGTATCCATCTGTTTTTTTTGGGTAGTTCACCGTTGTGGGTGTACACTCGGCTAAGTTCGACAATGAGAAGGATCTAGAAGCCATACGAAATGCAGTTCTACGCTATGAAATCACCCACCCGGTAATTTTCGGACGTTCTAGGTTTATATAAAAGTTTTCCTAATTATTTGTGAAACTGGTTACTTAGGACAATTTCTGGACTTTCTTCTGTTTGTGAACTTCTCGAGCATTGTAGTGATGGGATCACATTTCCCTAATTCAAAGACTTTAGCTATTTCAAGTAATTTTTGCATTTTTCGATGCAACCAGTGTCTTTCATATGCTCAATCTGTTTTCTTTGGAGAGTCAATTGTTTGTGAATATAATGGCTTAAGTTTTATTATTTCCCTTTGTTGAATTTATTTTTTACATTTCTCCATCAGTGTCCTTTATTTGGGAAATCGTCTCCTTTTCCATGTCAGTTCTAGTTATTTTTCATAAATTACCAGCCTCTTAGCTCAACTAGTTATCTTGCACTGTCAAGGTTGTAAATGATGGAGACATGTATATGTGGAGAGAGCTCGGCATCAACTCGTGGCCGACATTAGCTGTTGTCTCACCAAACGGTAAACTCATAGCACAAATCGCCGGTGAAGGTCACCGCAAAGTAACATCTTTGTCCCTTTCCTAAAAGTTTTTTTGTTTTCATCCCTATGTTTAAATTAAAACTAACCTATATATAGCAAACCTAGAATCTCAGATGATTTTTTTTTTTATGTTTTCAATTTGGAATGCTAAAGAGTGAAATATATAATCAAATTCGTTTTTCACCAAAATAATCATTATCTGTTCATTGGTTGTTTACTTTAAGGATCTTGATGACTTGGTGGCAGCAGCTCTAATTTATTATGCTGGGAAGAATGTATTAGACAGTACTCCGCTTCCTACACGTTTGGAGAAAGATAACGATCCGCGCTTGGCCGCATCTCCATTGAAATTCCCAGGGAAGTTGGCAATTGATACTCTTAACAACCGGCTATTTATCTCAGACAGTAACCATAACCGTATTGTATGTCCCTGACTCTTCATGTAACCCTCGTATCCTTTTTTGTTCTCTAATGTCAACATTATATGGTAATTTCAGATCGTAACTGATCTTGACGGGAATTTCATCGTCCAAATCGGCAGTACTGGAGAAGAAGGTTTCCGTGATGGCTCCTTCGAAGATGCTGCATTCAATCGTCCTCAGGTATATGATATCAATTACTCCTCATTCGGTTCCAAACCATAGTTTTGTTGTTACCTACATGTTGTGATTTGTTCAGGGACTCGCTTATAATTCAAAGAAGAATTTTCTTTATGTTGCCGACACCGAGAACCATGCTTTAAGGTATGTATGTCCGTTATACGAACTTTAATGCAAACAAGAATCTCATACTTTTGGGTGTTAACAACTTATATTGGAGTTTCGTTGATTGAGGTGAACATGTTATTCTACTGATTCTTCTTCACTCATTAGTTGATACTGATTGTTCTTCTTAGGGAGATTGATTTTGTCAACGAGACTGTGCGGACTTTGGCTGGCAACGGAACTAAAGGCTCAGACTATCAAGGTGGAAGAAAAGGAACCTTACAGGCAAGAAACTTGATTCAGAACATTGGTTTATCTTAACATTAGTCAACCCTTTTCTTTTCAGATTTGTTCAGAACTCTTAAGTTATCGACTCTGAACTATTCAGGAGTAATTGTCTTTCTTTGAGAGGTTAAATAATAAGCAGCGTTTTGGACTTTTGAACTTCAGCTTTTGAATTCTCCTTGGGATGTATGCTTTGAGCCAGTAAATGAGAAGGTCTATGTTGCAATGGCTGGTCAGCACCAGATTTGGGAATACAATGTGCTTGATGGTGTTGCTAGAGCTTTCAGTGGAAATGGCTATGAAAGAAACCTCAACGGTTCTACGTATGTTAAACATTAATTGTTAACTTATTTGGCCTATGTTAGCTTTCTTTATGCAAATTTTTGTTGATACAGCCCTCAGACAACGTCATTTGCTCAGCCTTCGGGAATCTCGTTAGGCCCTGGTAATCACTATACACTTCAAACTTGTCACTACTCATTGTTACAAAGCTATTAAAAATGAATCTATGGGTAATGTGACTGGTAGATCTGAAGGAAGCATATATTGCTGATAGCGAGAGCAGTTCTATTCGTGCCCTTGATCTGCAAACTGGAGGATCAAGATTGCTAGCTGGTGGTGATCCCTATTTCTCCGATAATCTTTTTAAGGTAATCATTTGAGTCGTTTTACCCTACTATCTTTTGTATTCTAAGGGGTTGTAGAGGCATCCATCTTTAACTCTTCCTTGGCATTTTTAGTGGATTTACATGTTTGAATGTTTCATCTCTAGCTATATCAGTCTCTAACACGGGCTAAGATTTGAACAGTTTGGAGACAATGACGGTGTGGGAGCAGAAGTGCTCCTGCAACATCCATTAGGTGTATTATGTGCTAAGGACGGCCAAATATATCTAGCTGATAGCTATAACCACAAGGTAAATTGACTTGGCAAGTCTAAGAAAACATCTGTCAATATAAATATCCGGAATTATAATAAGCAGGAACCTAGTTTTGGACAACTCTGTTATAATAAGATCAGAAAGATTCTCGACTATTACAAGATCTTAATTCAATGCTATGTCTTGATTCTAAACTTTGATACAGATCAAGAAGGTGGACCCTGTGACCAAACGTGTTGTTACTGTCGCTGGAACGGGAAAAGCGGGTTTCAAGGATGGAAGGGTCATGGTTGCTCAGGTCCGACTAGGTTACTACAATCTTCTACGTTGAATAAATGGACGGGTATGATTTGTTAGTTAAATACATTGTTTTCGACCGTCTGTTGCAGCTTTCAGAACCTGCAGGACTTGCTCTAACTGAAAAAGGTAACTTCCTGTTCCCCTTAACAGTTATTAATTAAGGAACAATCAAGTGCTAATTTTATTGCCTATATCTTTCTCAGGGAGGCTTTTCGTGGCGGATACAAACAATAGCCTTATCCGGTACATAGATTTGAACAAGGAAAATGCAGAGATTCTTACACTGGAGTTAAAAGGTGTTCAGCCGCCAGTGCCAAAGACAAAATCCTTGAAACGTTTGAGAAAACGTGCCTCAGCTGATACAAAGATTGTCACAGTGGATGCTATTACATCTCGCGAAGGAGATCTGAATCTCAAAATCTCATTACCAGATGGCTACCATTTCTCCAACGTCAACCTCTTCTTCTTATCCTATTTATACATATTTTCTGTCTCTCTCAATCTTATATAGACATTGCTCGTTGTTCACAGGAAGCACGGAGTAAGTTTGTGGTTGATGTAGAGCCTGAAAACGCTGTTATGGTCGAGCCAGTGGAAGGAAATCTCGGCCCCGATGGTTCAACAATGCTTCATTATAGACAGTCTTCAACTTCAGCTTCTGTTGGGAAAATCAGTTGCAAGGTTTACTTCAATATCTTTGATTAAGCAGAAACTAGCTGTTTCAGGATTCAATAGTTGTTTGCTTTTGCATTTATAGTATGTGTATTTTAAACAATATTCCATTGTAAGTGTCCTTTCGCCTTTACGAATTGCAAAAACAATGGGAAACTGAAAAATTTAATTGCAGGTGTACTATTGCAAAGAAGACGAGGTTTGCTTGTACCAGTCTGTACAGTTTGAGGTCCCTTTCAAAGTGGAATCAGAATCTTCGGCTTCTCCGGTGATTGCATTCACCGTTAAACCCAGATCATCCGATACCGGTGGGTTACAGCTTCAATCTTGAATGGAGTCCATGGTTGAAGTTTACTTCCAATTTTCCAACTTCTTATCGTATAACGTAAAAACTGCGTGAATATATAACCTGTGTTAAGAAAACATTTGGGACTATACTTTTCTTAAAACCCATCACTAAAGTAGCCATTCATTTTTATACCAATTAAGAAGCTACCATGTTTATCTAGTGTTTGGTGATACAACGACTTGGACTAGAGCGGATCTGGAATTAAAAAACAATTAGACTCAAACATGAATAGTTTACATGTAAATACACTTTTTACAATCAAGACACTTTCTAATTCAGCTAAGTAATAATATGAGAATATAAATAAAATAGCAAAACAAGCAAGTGATGATAGGTTAAGGTTTTTAGAAATCAATTAAACAAAAGGTTACGCTACGGGTAATTCTCAGGAATGAATCGAAATCGAAGGACAAAAGACTATCAGGATTATTAAGCACGGTTCTAGAACTCAAACACGAATGTAAAACCAATCAACTTTTATTGTAGAGATTATCTATGACTAAATCCCTAAATCCTAAATATCTTTGCAAATTTATCGAATAAAGACAAGCATTAAAGTTCAGTTCAATTGTTCACAAAATCACTAAGCC